GACACAGTAACAGTGCCAGTGGTAACTTTTAACCATGATTACTTTCGGCCATTTAATGCAACTGTAATTATCCCACAGACTAGGAAAATAGGCCAATAAATGTCAAAATTTGAATCTGCAGGAAGTGAGTCAGCTCAAGTGATGAGAAATGACTCCGAAGTCCATTATGGTTATCTATCACAGCATCGCTTCCACGTTGCCTTGCTGAATCACTCCTGTGGCCATTGCCAGCGCCAGGGATTATCATCAGGACTGAGTTGAGAAGCATGCTTTCTGGTTTTAAAAGTTTAGATGATCTTAACTCTCCCTGTCCTGGATCTCACATGGCTGAACGCAGCTGAATTTGACATTCCTGCGAGCACCACTTGTCGTACTCAGGCTGGGCTAGTGGTGTCTTGGGGCTTTCGGTCCTTTCTAGTGTGATCACACTAACGTCAGTGTAACCCAGTTTCTCTCTCTTCATTTTTCTGCAAGTTAGTGGCCTGTTTGAACTTTCTGTTTCTCTCAGTCCCCAGTTTCCTGCTGCTGGTCAATTTTAGACTGCAGTCACCTCTCTGGATAAATAAATATTAACAATATTATTACTAACTTCTGAAATGAATAGCTTTAAACTTTGCTCTGCTTTCCAAGCTGTGGTTCCCAATCATGAAATGGCATAAAATGCATTGCTTCTCATCACTTGCGTTACTTCCCATCTTGACCTAAGTCTTACCATTGCTGAGATTTCTCCCTGCCTGAGCTACTTGTTAAGTGTCTGAAGCACCTTCTCCCATGATGACGGTGACATTGTCTTGTTGCAGTTTTATAAGGATGCCAACATCTTTACCTAACAGGTTCAGATATGCTTGAGTGGCCTGTGCACAGACCAACCCACGCACAGGCTCAGGTGGACCTCTCTTGCACTTCACGTGCCGGTACTGATTAACACCTTGGCAACACCCAGTATGTTTTTACTACTCGGAAAATGCTGCCTTCAAGCAGTACTTTTACTTGTGTTATCAGAGATTTTCTCAAATCCTGTGCCATCCTTTATAGCTTCTCAATCATTTCAAAAGAAAAGCTCAAAAAACTCTCCTGCTGCCTTTAACTCCAGGGAGAGGTTTGCTACGCTCCTGTACTTTCTCCATTCATTACTGGTAACATGGACCTAATTCCTGCCCACACCGAGACCCCTTCTATCAGGCAGTCAGTGTAAAGATACCTTACAACTGATGCATGCTATGGTGCAGCCTAAGTGGTGCCCTACACCGACAGGGTGGGGTAAAAGGACATTAACCTAAAGGAAAATCTGTCCCAAGATGGTGATGGTGCCATTGCCTGACCCTCGCTGCCGTTCGGTTTGAGGAGAAAACATTGCCAGAGCTGCTGAGCAGCGGGAAATGAGATGGAAAATTTACCCTCACTATCAGAAATATCTGATACGCTGTCCTGAGAGAGATGACCACGTATGCCTACAGAATTGTCCGCACCCTGAATGAAGAGCAGGTGGCATTTCCATATAGATTAAAGGGAAGTACGTGATGAAGATTGGATATAGATATACAACCATCACAGTTTGCAGATACTACATTCACAGCCAAAGAATCACTTTCAGTTGAATTTATCCATGTTAATTCCTCTGTGTGAATTTAAAAGTTCACATGACTATGCTTTCAGTTAATACATATGGACCATCTAACAGGACTGCTTCTAGAGGTTGCTGAAATAGCCCAGTGTCTTCACCTCAGTCAACACAATTCTTTTCAAACATAACTGTGATTTGTATTCCGATTGATACTACTTGCATTAAGTTTCATAAGCTCTATACTTCTTGTACTTAGACTCTATTAGATATTTCTATCACATGGCAAGTAAATAATCTTAGTCTGATGATTTCCATAGAAAGTTAAATAGCTAATTCAATGTTGCAGTACTAGCTAATTATAAAATACCCTCTAACTGCCTTTCCGTATAAAAATGGTTGACCAAAATAGGTTTTCTTTGGATGTTAATTAGCATACAGGTGGTTTAACTGTTTTCTATCCACTGTTATTTCTACATCTGCTGAGGACTTCTCCCTCATGAAGCTGAAAGGCCAGGTTCTAACTTTGCACCTTTACCTTAAACTGCAGGAAACACTTTTTTTAAACTTCTGTATTTACTTCCAGGAATTGGACAGTTTTGGTTCTGCATAGCACCATGAGAGTGCTGCTCTGCAGGCACCCAAGGATGGCTGAATTAACAGGAGCTTTCTATATCCCAACCACCATAAACTTTTCTTCTACCCTTGAGTTGTATAGTCCCGTTGTCAACACAATGGAAATGGCCCGTCCCGATGGCCACAGTAGCCTGAGAATGCATACCAAACCCAGGAGCAACTGCCTAAAACAACGTATCGATAGATACTAGTATCTATTCAACTACCTATTTGTGTCCAAATTACCCAGTCAACAATGTATATTCGGCAAATTTTCCTTAAATCCTTAAATGCGTTTACCTTTATAAATGGTATTATGACACACCATGGAGTTTGTCAGAAGCATTTGCATTGCCAAAATCTCTTCTGCATGCAATGATATGCACTGGCTTCTTAATCACGAGCCAATACTGGATTCAGACCCACACTGGATGTCCAAGCTGTCCAGTCACGCAAATTTGTGGAAGAGCTGTTGCTAAGAATTTTAATAGGCTGTGAACCTGCTATGGCTAAGTAACAGAAAAGAAAATAAAGCAAAACTATGGAGGCAAACTATGCAACGGGGTTAGCGTCAGCTTTGGATGTGTATGTGGGAAGGGTGGAGATGGTCATCCATGTTTTCCACCATAATGACAGCTGCTAAATGAATGAAAGAAGCAAAGCCTGAGGGAAGAAAAAAAAAAAAAAGGGAAAACATTTCTCAAATTTTAAGTTAAATGCTCAGAAAATCTGAGAGGCTGCTGTGTATAAACGTTTCAGATTTCTGTTTCAAGAGGCTTGAAAGGCTCAAACTTTAAAACTATGAATGCTGACTACTTTGCTTCTGCTGTAACTGTACTGCTCCTCCTCTTAAAACTATGCCTTTAGGCCTAATTTCCTTATTTAAAAATGTTATCACTCACTGCCATCTAGCGTTAATAGCACAGATTGTCAGGAATTTAAAATTACTTTTCTGGCTTTAAGAATTAAAAAAAAAAAAATTTACATTTTCCAAGTTTGGCCTTATCCTGAGGACCTGGACATCCCTGTTTCCAGTGACAGAGGGAGCCGCAGATGCACAGCGGCTCAGAAAATCCGACAGTTTATTCGCAGGGATAGATCTGAGTTTAGTGGCCACAATGCAGTTTCGAGGACTACAGTCACCTTCAGTTTTACTTTCTTGATTCTGGCTCTGCTTACTGGTTCTCTCCCTGTTTCACTGTGTCGTACCAGACTTGGCCCTGAGGCAGAGCCCACAGCTGCAGGGCAGGTACAGCGTGCTGTGCAGCACACATTCCTCATCCCCTTGCTGGCAAGGGAAAACTGGAGCCACTGTTGTGCTCCATTGCCTGTGTGATGCATGTCTTTCCACCTGGGTATCTGAGAGTCGTGGTACACACCAGATCTCAGCAGCACAGTTAGAATGTGATCCAGAGGCAGAATTAAGGATAGGGCCACTGGGGCAGCCAGGAGTACATCTGTGGAAGTTGGGGGGATGCCCATGGCCCCAGTTTGCTGTTTGAATGGAGTACCCAAGTGCTTATTTTCTGCCTTAAACTATTACTTAACTAAGCTATTACGGTCGCACTTAAATGCAAAATGCCTATGCAGATTCTGGGAGGCAAACCCAGAACAGACCTTCAGTTTTAACAGCAAACATCTTTGGTTGCAACTGGCATGGGTTTATGCCACAGGATTCAACGGTATCAATGAATCTTGCTAGTGAAGAGAAACAAACCCTGAATCTCTGCAGGTGCCATCCACCGTTTGATATTAAGAGACTGTTCACCTTAGCAAGTGTGGTAGAATAGGCAAAACCAGTGATAACCTCCTCCTTTCTCTATTTTACCAGGCAAGGATTTAAAGTCTCAAAGCTGGGATAAAGCAGTTGGGTGAGAAAGCATCTTCCTTTCCGAACAGCGTGTCATCCATGACAAATTTAAGGCACAAGTCTCACTAATTTACAGTGCATCTTCCTGTGTTTTCTGAAGATTGGACAAGTTCTGTACATTGTGAGCTACCTTCTGGTGGCTACCTTTTCAATAAACAGGAATCATAATTGTTCTTTATGTGAAGAATTAATGTACATTAAGTTCTTAAAGAAAACGTCTGAATTCAAAACCAGACCACAGAGTACTACAACCACGTATAGTCATAATTAGTTTATTAGTACTGTTTTTGAAACAAATATACTCAGGTACTTAAACACAGTTTAATTCACATTTATTTCCACATTTGATATATTACTGTATATTACATAACGCACTGAATATCCAGTAAATAAATAATAAAACCAAAGTGCAGATTAAAGTAGCAAGGTCAGTTTTAGGTTATCAGGAAGGCCAAAATCACATTAGCAGTATAAGGACAGCAAGTTGTAAATGACTAATATTTAACACGTCATTCTATCGTTGTTATATGCATGCTAGTACAAATTATCCCTCTGAGAACTGCATATAGTTACCTACAAAAGAAAACAGTCTTTCCCTTACATTACATTTTCGTGATCTTTTTATTTCTTACCTTTCAGGCCTGATCCTGCAGTCCTTACTCAGCAAAACTTCCAGCACAATCTGTTCCGTTAGTTTCTTACTTTTTCTTTAAGCTACATAAAGCCCATTGGCTCTCTCAAAACATCTGAATACTAAATGATTAGAGTAGGAATTTCTAAAAATTCTGAAATTCTAAAAGTATTTGTAACAGAAAATAATGTAATTAAGTACAGACCTAAGACTATTAGGGCCAAATCTAGGAACAGATCTAGGCAGAAGCCTTGGGAACTGTCAGGACAGCAAGGTTGGCATCTGGTGAGTTAGGCACTTTCCTGATTAGCCAGCCACTTTTAGGATCACAGCTTTGGATGTAGACATCTTCAGTCTCCTTAAATAATGTTTTGAGCACCTGCATCCTTTTTTTCAGATCTGGCCTTTTTTAATACTTGAATACATGATGTATAACATTAACAGTATGCACAGACACTAAGAGAAGTGACCCTAAAGTAAAACAAAATGATAATTCAACATGATATCATAGCCATGACTAGAAGAAGCTATTGTTCTTTTCTGTGCTTGGGTTAGGCACGTTTGTTTTAACAGCTTTTAACACTGTATCCCATTTACTATTCTTGTGCTCTAACTGCCTTTTCCTAAACTTGTGCTGAAATAAATCATTGCTGTCTTCATCCTCAGCCTCTGACACTATCTCCATTTTTTGGATAATCAATTTAATGAGGTCATGTTGCTTTTCCAATAGTGTTGATATATCTTTGAGCCTAAAAAAACAAAGAAGAAAAAAAGTATGCATAGAGCAGGCTTTGTCACTTGGTTTCAAAGGACATTTTAGTAATTAAAATTACAGACACAAAAGATCTGACAGCCCTCCACTTCACCATTCTGCTAACAAAGAGTATCAGCTGGCACACATTTAATTTTTCAAGCTGTGCTACTCCTCCAGGTTTCAGGAAATAGGATTAAAGAACAAATTCCTGGTTCTTGAGAAAAGTAACTTACTATATACTTAAGGTAAGAGCAATTTCACTCTCAAAATAAAATTCTAAACAGTTCTATCAAAAGTTTTTCCCACTGACTGAAGTTGTCTGGCAATAAAAAAGGTCCATATTTGCAATGGCAATTAACATCCACAAACATTTAGTGAACTTCACAACTACTTTAACAGCATATGAGAGAGACTGATGAGGCACTTACTGATCTCTTTTAAAGTGCTATCCAAAGTGCAATTGACACAAATAAAGAGTTAACATCAAGTTAGCATCACACATACAAAACACAGTATCTGTTATCTTTTAGGAAACAATGAAAGAAATGGGAAATATGCCTAGAAACTGCCTTCATAAAACTACCAAACAGGGTTTTGGAAAATTCTACTTTTCAGAATGTTTAGACTCACAAAATTACAGCATGAAATATACATTGTGACTGAAAAGGTTCTCTGTGAAGAACAGTCTAGTCTTTACATCTAAACATTCTTTAGATGTAGTTGCCCTTTTTTTTTTTTTTTACAAAACAGTAAATACGTTTTAAAATATGTGAAAACCACAATAATTAAAATAGTGCAGCTAACATTAATACAAAGTAAAAAAAATCCCACCCCAAATCAAAACCCAAAAACATATACACTCAGCACTGATTGCCATAAACTTCAGTAAGAACTGAACTCTGTTTTGAACTCTGACAATAAAAACATACTGGTAGCATAGTAAAACAAAGCTTTCAGGCAATATTTTCAGAGCAGTAAATATAACTTTCCATAGTGAAATGGCCACAAGTTATTCTATTCCAAATAATTTTATAATTTTATAAAATTATAGTTTTCTTCCCTCTCT